GAATCGGAGGGGGAGACGAACCATGAGAAACTATGGACTCTGAGAAACAAACTGAGGGTTCTAGAGGGGAGGGGGTGGGGGGATTGTTTAGCCTGGTGATGGGTATTAAAGAGGGTACGTATTGAGTGGAGCACAGAAACAATGAATCATGGAACACTACATCAAAAACTAATGATGTAATGTATGGTGATTAATATAACATAATAAAATAAAATTTTAAAAAAAGAAACAAGTAGTATAACAAAAAAGCAAAAGTGTCATTTGTAAAAAGAAGTACATTTTGAAAAATCCACTGGAAAAAAACCCATAATATTGTATAAAACATTTCAACACGCTGGAAGAATCTAAGATTAAGATGCAAACATTAAATGTGTTTTAAATCAAATAAGAAATGTAATGTCAACGTTACATTTTAAATGAACCTATATATAAGATCCTCAAAATATATAGAATGCCTAAGATTATATCTACATGAAATGTGTAAAAACTGTATGAAATAAATTATAAAAGTGTGCTAAAGGGCATAAATGATCATTTCACTCATATGTGGAATTTAAGAAATGAAACAGATGAACATGGGGTAAAAGAAGAGAGAGAGGCAAACCGTAAAACAGACTCTTAACTATAGAGAAAAACCTGAGGATTGCTGGAGGGGAGGTGGACAGGGGGATGGGTTAAATGGGTGATGGGAATTAAGGAGGGCACTTGTTGCGATGAGTACTGGGTGGTATATACAAGTGATGAGTCACTAAATTCTACTTCTGAAACTAATATTACACTATATGTTAACTAAAATTTAAATAAAAATTGAAACTAAAAAAGAAAAGCATTATGTTCTTGAGATAAATGACTGAATATTAGAAAAACGTTAATCTCCCCTTCCAAAAAACTGTATAACTTCCCTTTAATCCTAATCAACATCCTGTTTTTGTTCTTTCAGCCATTTCTTTTTATTTACAGTTTGTGTTCAATGCAAATCAATTCCAAAACATGAGAAATCACTATGGAGTCAAAGCATAAATACACAAACACAATGTACAATCCAAACTAGATGTACAGCATTCAGGTATGAAACTCTATAGAATGTTCATTCACACACACAGTAGCTAGAGATCTGTTGGTTATGATTTTTCCAGTATAGGTTCCTAAAGATGGGAAAAAATGACTTTGGTTATCAAGACTACTGTGGCTATATTAAATATTGGAATATCTAAGCATCAGTGTGTAGCCATGTGAACAAAAGACTTTAGAGTGTCTATTTTTAAAAAGCTTTCTGTGCATCTAGGCAGTTGTGAAAAGATTTACTTTCCTGAATCAAGCCCACTTTAGGCTTAAGACCAGGTTCTAATTATCTAAAAATATTGACTAACAGAAAGTGTTCCAAATGTGGTTATTCTGATTTAGAGGTGTGTTTTTCTTTTAAGTATTTGTAGGAAGAGTATAAAAGTTTTTCTAAATTTAGTGTAAGTTTCCAGTCTTCACTTCCAAAATACTTGATTTAAAATTTTGGCTCCTGTACATATTTTGCCTTTTTAATTTCAAGATTTGTAAATTTTACCTTCAAAACAGATCATTTTTTTATTTTTATTTTTTTAAAAGATTTTATTTATCTGAGAGAGAGACAGAGACAAAGATAGCAAGAGAGAGCACAAGTGGGGAGGAGAGGGAGAAACAGGCTCTTGTTGAGCAGGGAGCCCAACGTGGGGATTGATCCCAGGACCCTAGGATCATGACCTTAGCCAAAGGCAGACGCTTAACCAACTGAGGTGCCCCAAAACAGATCATTTTTTAAACTGTAAAAAGTATTAACATATGCAGACATAAAAGGCATTTTGAAATTAGCTGAGGTCAATGTGGTTCTACTCTTTGGAATCAGATTAGCTAAATGAATCTGGCACTCTTGTTGAATAAGAATAGGTGATAAGTATATAAGCAAAATTTACTCATTATGCTTCAATCTGGTATAGATTCCAATCCATCATTGCCTTGGCACATATCAATTACTATATAAAAATTACTATATAAAAAAATCAAGTGCAATGTCAAATACAAAGCCTCAGAGGAGAGTCCAGTCCCAAGAAACAGTGATAGCTTAACAATGTAAAACTTTATCTAGAAAAGCATTAAGCTAGGACTGCTGAAACAACACACTGAGGGTTGACGTAACACCAGAGGTTCCTTCTAATGTATGTATAAACAGAATCATGGAAGCTTTTTGTATTACTTGACTGTTTTATGGCTTTAAAGATTTAATGAACCAAATGAAAACTGAATCTGTTCATATCCCATCCTTTATATCTAGGTAAGGTGAAATCTATTCTCATTTTCAAGGCAGAATTTTACCTGTCCATACTTCTTAAGCCACATTTAAAAAAAATCATGTCTTAACTAATCTTGGATGTTGTCTCTTCATCGTGTACATGAAGCTCCAGTATATTTATAGACATTCATCTTCTAAACAATAGACCCTTCATATGTTCTTCAAAACAATCAAATTTGGGATCCTCAACATTTTTCTGTGTCAATAAAATAAGGTATGGAATTAGCAGATTCAATGAAGACTTATGTTTTCCTTGTCACTGGGTATCTAGATGTCATTTGGATTGGGTTTAGAAGATGGGGAAGTATAGATGTTTCTTGTCCTGAGTCTCTTAAGAGTAGAGATGTAGAAGGGAGAATGAGATCAAGAAGAGTCTGGCTGTTGACCATAGAGTACCACCAGTTGCCCAGGTAGTGGTATTAACTGGATTTGGGGCAGTCCAGGTATTCTGGGAGGAGTTACTTGAAAGTGTTACAACAGTTGTTTGATTTGAATAAATCTGTGTGGGTAGGAGCAGCACCAGAAGCAGCAGCCCCCATCCCAGCCTGGCCACCATCACTCTGCCCAGATCTGCTCCATTGGTGCTGGTGTACGGCACACCTCCCTGGATGCCAAGGTGAGTGGAGAACTGCTGGCTTGGGGAGGGTACAGGCAAGGTCCCTAGTCAACATCTTTTTTTTTTTTTTTTAAGATTTATTTATTTATTTTAGATAGAGAGATAGGGTGGAAGGAGGGGGAGAGAGAGAGAGAAAATTTCAAGCAGACTCCCTGCTGAGTGGGGAGCTCCTTATGGGCTGGATCCCACAATCCTGAGATTACAGACCTGAGCTGAAATGGAGAGTCGGTTCCTTAACCAACTGAGCCACCCAGGTACCCCCTAATCAACATCTTAATAGAAATTTTTATGGAGCTTGACAAGATGGTTCCAAAATTGAGAAAAGAGATATCTAAAGATATCTGAGAAATTTCCTTTGATTTTATTTTTAAAAGGAAGCAGAATGGGCTGGGTTGCCATTTAACATATTCTAAATAGGTAACATATGGAATGAAGCAGTATTGGTGCCAAAAAGGCTAATTTAGCACTACAACAGAAGAGAGTATAGAAAAAAACACTAATGTAGATGGAAAGGTGGCATTTCCAGGCAGTAGGAATAGAAAAAGTGACCATTAGTGTACAAGAAATTAAATTACATTCTAACTCACAAAACTCGAAAGCAATTGCAGATAGATTCAAGTTTATTTCTTAAGGTTTATACTGAAATAATAAAAGAACAAAAACCTTAAATGGTTAAAACAAATTGCACCAAACTAGAGAGAGTTTTAATATATATGGAAGGATTCATATACCTATTTCATAAAAAATAAAAATTTGTTGGGGTGCCTGGGTGGCTCAGTTAAGTGACTCTTGATTTTGGCTGAGGTCATGATCTCAGGGTCATGAGTTCAAGTCCTGAGTTGGGCTACACACTGGGTGTGGAGCCTGCTTAAGATTATCTCTCTCCCTCTTTCTCTGCCCCTCCTCCCATCCTCCCTCTCTAAAAAAAAAGTTGTTCAAAAATAATGAGAAAAAAAAACAAATTCCATCATAAAATTGGGTCAAAGGTATGAAAAAATAATGTCTAGAAAGGAAGGTAAAAATGTTTAAAATGGTGAAAAATACTCAACTTCACTGAGTGATTCATAATGTTAAATTAACATAAGAATGAATTAATTTTTCTCCAAATAGACTGGCCAAACTTTTAACTATAAATCAAGCTTTATTGATAAGTGGGGGAATGCATGCCATTATTTATTATTAGTGGAGGTGTAAGGTGGTGCAAAATTTGAAAAGAAACTTAGTAATAGTTTTCACTTTAATATATTTCATACCATTAAACCCAGAATATTTACCACCAGGAATTGAAAATGCTCATCAATAGAAGACTGGTGAAATTATCCATAACTTTGTATAGTACCCAATCATTTACGTTTTTTAGATTGTGGTGAAATATACATAATATAAAATTTACTATCATAATCATTTTTTAGTGTACAGTTCAGTAGTATTAAGTACATTCACACTGTGGTCAAACCAATCTCCAGACTGTTTTCATCTTGCAAAACTGAAACTCGGTACCCATTAAATAATAACTCCCCATTCGTCCCTCCCCCAGCTCTTGACAGCCACTATTCTATATTCTGTTTGTATGAATCTGACTACTCTAGATACTTCATGTAAGTGGAATCATATAGTATTTGTATTTTTGTGACTGGCCTATTTCATGTAGCATAATGTCCTCACATTTCATCCATGTGATAGCATGTATCAGAATTTCCTTCCTTTTTAAGACTGAATAATATTCCATTATATGTATATACCACATTTGGGGGGTTTTTGTTTATCCATGTATCTGCTGATGGACACTTGGGTTGCTTCTACCTTTTGGCTATTGTGAATAATGCTGCTATGAACATGGGTGTATAAATAGCTCTTGGTAACCCCATTTTCAATTCTTTTGGGTAGAATTTCTGGATCATATGGTAATTCTATTTTTAATTTTTGAGATATCACCATACTGTTTTCTATAGTGGCTGCACCATTTTACATTCCCATCAACAGTACACAAAGTTTCCAATTTCTCCACATCCTTGTCAGCACTTGTTATTTTCTCTTTGTTTTTTTGATAGTTGCCATCCTAATTGGCATTAGTTGATATCTTGTGGTTTTGATTTGCATTTGCCTAATGATTCACTCTGTTGAGAATATTTTCATGTGCTTGTTGTCCATTAGTATAACTTCTTGGAGAAATGTCCTTTTATTATCAGATTTTGTTATTGTTGCTATTGTTGTTGTTGAGTTGTAGGAGTTCTTTATATATTCTGGATATTAACCCCTTATTAGAGAAATGATTTGCAAATATTTTCTCCAATTCCACAGGTTGCCCTTTTACTGTTGATTCTGTCCTTTGGTGCACAGTTTTTCATTTAGTTTTCATTATAGTTTTACCTCTTACATTTAGATCTTTGATCCATTTTGAGTTAATTTTTATATATGGTAAGGTAAGGGTCCACATTCATTCTTTCACATGTGGATATCCAGTTTTCCCAACACCATTTCTTGAAGAGACTATGCTTTTCCCAGTCAATAGTCTTGGGGCATCCGTGTCAAGTATCAGCTGACCATATATACATGTGAGACCATATTTCTGGGCTTTCTATTCTTTTTCATTGGTGTATGTCTGTCTTTATGTCAGTACCACACTGTTTTGATCACGTAGTTTGTTTTGAAACCATATGATTTCACTCGTATGTGGAATTTAAGAAACAAAACAGATGAACATAGGGGAAGGGAAGGAAAACTAAAATAAGATAAAAACAGAGAGGGAGGCAAATCATAGGAGACTCAACTATAGAGAACAAACAGGGTTGCTGGAGGGGAGGTGGGTGGGGGAATTGGGCTAAATGGGTGATGGGCATTAAGAAGGGCCCTTGTGATGAGCACTGGGTGTTATATGTAAGTGATGAATCACTAAATTCTACTCCTGAAACCCATACTACACTATATGTTAACTAACTTAATTTAAATAAAAACTTGGAAGAAAAAAAAAAGAAATCAGGGAGTGTGAGACTTTGCTCTCCAACTTTTTTTTTTTTTTTAAGATTGTTTTGGCTATTTATGATCCCTTGAGATTCCATATGAATTTTAGGATGGATTATTGTATTTCTGCAAAACATACCATTGGACTTTTGATAGGGATTGCATTAAATCTGTAGATTGCTTTGGGTAGTATTGATATCTTAACAATATGAAGCCTTCCAATCCATGCTCACAGGATTTCTTTCCATGTATTTATGTACTCTAATCTCTTTCAGCAACATTTTGTAGTTTTTAGTTTACAAGTCTTTTGCTTCCTTGGTTAAGTTTATTTCTTAGTATTTTATTTTTTTGATACTATTATAAGTGGAATTATTTTTCTCAATTTCCTTTTCATATAGTTCATTGTATATAGAAACTCAAATATTTTTTGTACAGTCATTTATTAAAAGGTAGACATTATGAACACAGAAAAATCTCTCAGATACATTACTGAATAAAAACAAGTACATATTTCAGAATTCAGTAAGATACAACTTATGAAGAAGAAATCTCTTTATACATTTATATACTACCACTCTATAAGTGAGGTTTTATTCACATTTGCCCACAATGGTGGACCACAATATTCCTATGTGATATTGTGATTTATAATAAATATATATTTTGGTCTTTGTCCATGGTTCCTGGCTCATAGCTCCCAAAACCCTTGGAATTTCCTAATTGATGAGAGCAACGGGAGCATCTTTTGTTATAGTATTTGGTCTCTTGATCTCAATTCTTGAAATTTCTTCAGTCATAAAGGTGAAATGGTTGTCTTGATATTTATAAATGTCCCTTTCAACCACAATTGAGTTTATGTTAATAAGGTGGCTTTTGGAAATCCTCTAAAGATGGAAGCAGGGGCTGTTTGCCAAGGGAACCAATCCTGCTTAGAGGGTTAGAAGTTTCAGCCTACCCCTGATTTTGGGAGATGGAAGGAGTTGGAGGCTGAATCAATCATCAATGGGCAGTGTTTTAATCTATCATGCCTATGTAATGAAGCCTCCATAAAAACCAAAAGGACAGGGTTTGGACAGCCTCCACGCTGGAGAACCAGATGCAATGACATGCTGCTGAGCCAGGCCCAATCAGATTCCAAGCAGATAAAAGCTCCTTTGGAACCTTGCCCTATATATCTTGTCATCTGGCTATTAATTTGTGTACTTTAATATCCTTTGTAATTAACTGGTAGTAATCTAGTGAGTAAACTGGTTTCCTGAGTTCTGTGAGCCACTCTAGGAAATTAATTGAATCCAAAGAGGAGGTCACAGGAACCTCTGACTTGGAGTCAGTTGGTCAAAGGAGAGGTGACAACCTGGCCTTTTGATTGGCATCTGAAGTGGAGGCAGTCTTGTAAGGCTGAGCCCTTAATTTGTGGAATCTGAATGAGGCTGTCTCTGGGTAGAGAGTGAATTGTAGGACACCCAGCGGGTGTCTGGAGAAATTCTTGACATGGTTTTTTCCACCCATAAGAATTGGTGTCAGAATTGTATTCTGTTTTAGAAAAGGGGCTTTCAGCCTTTTCCTGTTTCAGTCCTTCTCTCCTAGAAAAACATTCCCACTTACTCTGTATCTTGTGTTTTCAGCTTATCTATCGTAATTTAGTCAAGCATGGGCCAAAGGCATTTGACTTTGATTATGAAATTTATAACTTCTTCTTATACGATGGGGTATTTTGTGAATAGGTTTTTGAAAAGAAGATATAACAATCAGTAGCTGCATTATTTATTTTTTAATTTTTTAAAGATTTTATTTATTTGAGAGAGAGAGAGAGCACATGAGCGGGGGTGAGGGAGGAGCAGACGGAGAGGGAGGGGGAGAGGGAGAAGCAGACTCCCGGTTGAATGGGGAGCCCAATGCAGGGCTAGATCCCAGGACCTCCAGATCATGACCTGAGTCGAAGGCAGATGCTTAACGGACTGAGCCACCCAGGCGCCCTGAGTAGCTGTTTTAAAACAAATGTAATTACAGCTATAGGCCCCGTGTGAAGTGGGCAACGGTGGAGGTGGAAGGGCAGAGGAGAACTGTAGTCACTGCACCGCCTATATTTAGTGGTATCAAGTTCGTGATGGAATCATCCATGTTGATAGAAGGGTCTGACTGGGGATTCTCTGGGGCCATTCTGTTTATCAGGAGTGCTGACATCTGGAAAGGAAAACCTATATGAGAAAGGGGATACTGATGAAGTCATTCATTCCCTGGGAAACAATGTTTTCAAGGGCCTTGGGTTTGTTGTGACAATCTCATACAAATGAGGTTAACCCTAGGAGACTCTGCCTCAGCTGGAAAGTGATTCACATTGTATGTCATAGAAAAATACTACAGATGTGTTAGTCAAAAATGAGACTTTGGTAATATTAAGAGAAGTTATGTGTCAATATCTTAGTGACTCAGTGTAGGGCGATTTTTAAAAATGAGTTTGTTGAAACACAGTCTTTACATCAAAAGATGGATAAATTAGACAATTAGACTAGATCAAATTTTCATAGATTTCTCATCAAGAACCAAGGAAGACTGACAGTGGAACAAAATCTCAAAGTGCTAAAAGAAAAGAACTGTCAACTTGGAATTCTATATCTATATCCAGGGAAAATATCCTTCAAGAATGAAAGTAAAAGTCATGCATTCTCAACTAGGGCAATAATTGACCCCAAGAGGGATAAAGAGTTCTGTTGTTTTGTTTTGTTTTGTTTTGTGGGGTGTGGAGAGGCACAAAACATCTTATTATAATGGTTTGTGGCCTCTACAGCTCAACCCTGCCCTACAAAATCTTATTTATTAGTATTTAATTTCCCTTATTAGCAAGAAACTAAATTACACTATAATTATATATGTATGATATATGTATATTTGTATGATATATGTATATTTGTATATACATGATATATGTATATTTGTATGCAATTATTTAATTTAGTTTTCTCTTTGAAGTCAGGGCAATAACGAAAAAAGTTTGAGCAACACAATAAACTATATAGCAACGGCCTTAAAACCCTTTTGTGCTGCAGTTTAACGTTACTCTCTAGGGAAGAATATGGGATTTGAGTTTGAAGAGGAACGTTAAATTTTTGTTTTATCTCACTATTGAATATTTTACATAAAAAATTTATTCTAGGGACACCTGGGTGGCTCAGTCAGTTAAGTGTCTGCCTTCGGCTCAGGTCATGATCCCAGGGTCCTGGGATGGAGTCCCACATCAGGCTCCCTGCTCAGCGGGGAGCCTGCTTCTCCCTCTGCCTATGCCAACTCCCCCTGCTTGTGCTCATGCTCTCTCTCTCTCTGACAAATAAATAAAATCTAAAAAAGAATGAAGATAGAACGAGGACATTCTCAGATCAAGGGAAATACAAGACTCTGTGGCCAGTAGTCCTATTCTATAGAAATGTTAAAGAAAGTTCTTCAGACCAAAAGGAAATGGTACAGAGGGAACATTGGAACTTCGGGAATGAAGGAGCAGCCACAGAAATGGTAAATATCTGGTTAAATATAATAGACTAGTTTTCTCTTCTTAAGTTATTTGAAATATATACAAATACTGAAAACAAAAATTATCACATTTTCTAGTTTTTTTTTTTTACTTTTAATTTTGAAATAATTTCAGGAGCACAGAAGTTGCAAAAAAACATGTACAAGGTGGTCCTGTTCATCTTTCACCCAGCCTCTCCCAATGGTGACATCTTGCATAACTGTAGTACACTATCCATATCAGGAAAATGACATTGGTACAATCCATAAAGCATACTCAGATTTCACCAACAGCATTACTCAATTTAGACTGCGTGGTGGGTGGTCTATGATGCTTCTACCCAGTCTTCCCTTCTCCTTCACTAGGGGTCAGATTTGTGTTGTGGTCTGTAGCTCTTCCAGCCTTCCCCATTTTCTCCCACAGGCATTTCCCCTAATAAAATCCTGCAGGTTTAATCCTACTTGACATGTGCTTCTTAGAGGACCCAGACTAATGCATCCTATTTTTTGTGTGTTATTAGTTAATCCATCGTGGACAATGGGACTCAGCCTGAGCCAGAAGCATTTGGAATTCATTTGACTGTTGTAACTGTCCCTCCTTCAAGGAGTGCTGTGGGCCCCCAGGAAAGGGGGTCAGCCTGGAAGGAAGGCTCACTGTGATCAGCTTTGCTTGCTCTATCATGTCAATGCTGTAATCACTCATGTGGATAAAAAGGGTGGGTCTGGGAAGTTCCAGGGGCTCCTCTGTTCATCTGGTCACCAGAGGGCTGCATTGGTAAGTTTGTGGAATAGAGTTGAGCCGGGAGTGGAGAGTGATGAGCTCATTCATTTCTTGGGATGCAGTGTATTGAAGGCCACTGGGCTTAATCTGGGGTCACTCACATAGTACCTCTGTGAATTTAAAAATAAGTGACTTCACCTTCCTAAACTTGTTTCCCCAGTTGAAAAATAATAATAATCTCTACCTCACAAGGCTGTGGTGAAGATTCACTAAAAGCTTATCTATAAACCACAAAGCTTGTTGCAATGTAATGTTCAAGGGATGGGAACTGCTGTTATTTAGAAAAGTAATTCAGACCATGTAACTGTACTGCTCAGAACCTTTCTATGACTCCCCAGTGCAGGTGAGACAAATCCCACATCCTCAGTAACCCTGACCTAGGGAGACTTCTAGGAACAGGCATCACCTCTTGTAGACCTGGCAAAAACAGCCCTTGTCTTAAGTCCCTTCACTGAGTTCTGCACCTCTCAAACTTTAATAGGTATGCAGTGATCTTGTTAAAATACAGATTCTGATTCAACAGGTTTGGGGTAGGGCTTAAGATCCTGCATTTCTAACAAGTTCCCAGATGATGCTGATATTACAGGTCTGTAAATAAGACTTAGCAAGCCTCGAAAAGGGTCTCTCTTTTGTTCTTTTGTATGTGCTCCCCCACTGGGCATGGAGTCTGCAATTCAAAAATGTCATGACCATCTAGAATATGTGCCCAGTTCTAAATCATACTCCATGTACCAGGGACCACACGATTTTCTAACACATGGTCCTGATCCTGCATAGATCCTTCCCTGAATTCATCCTCCTTAGGGAAAAACATGCTGTCAATGTGCACCCCTCCCTGGCCCAAGAGGTGACTGTGGGTCAAAGGGGTGTCAACAGAGCCTGGACCTAGGCATGCAGACAGGGGTGCAGGGATGAGGAGGATGGAGGGGTGGGAGAGCTAGAGGGGGTGGGGCTCTCCCTCTACTGCCATGTTCTGTGGAACTCCAGAGAACTCAAGAATTCAAAATTTGCATCTCAACTTCCAGGAAAATATATCTGTCAAGGTGAACAAGTAGAACATATTTTACTTAAGAGTTTGATAGCTTAATTTATAATTTTTAAATACTTAGATGTATGATATGTGGGCTTCCATTGGTATTCTTGTCTTGGCCTTGAAAATGGCACCTGCTGGGCTCTCCCCTCATCTTCACTGTCTGAGTTCTGGCCACCCTAGGTTTCCTTCAATTCTTTGAGCAAGTAATGAGCTGCCTGTTTCCAGGTATTTGCATCTGCTCATCTCCACCGTTATCTCCTACTTAACACTACTTATTACCCACTGCCTGTCTTGTCTCAGTTTAAACAGGAACATGTAGAAGCTGACTTCTCTTAACAAACAACTTCACAGTGTTACCTTAGCTCTTTCTTAGCACGATGTGCTTTTTCTTTTAAAAACAATTACAATTTTATTTCCCCATTTTTTTTCAATTTAATTTAATTTTATTATGTTATGTTAGTCACCATACAGTACATCATGAGTTTTGTGTAGTGTTCCATGATTCATTGTTTTCGTACAACACCCAGTGCTCCATTTATTTTTCTGCTCCTGCTTTACTGTCCCTTTATTTCACCTTTGGAAACAATTGGCTATGAGGAGGTGATGTGTCAGTGGGAGGAGAATATAGATTAAATTAGCTTTTGCTTGGAAAGGGTTTACAAGAGAGGGAAGGAGGGAGGGAGGGAGAGACAGTAAGAGACAGAGGCAGTTACTATGAAAGGTTGGATAATCTAGGGCAACTGTTCTCAAAAAGCATGTTCTGAAGGCTCATGGGGGTCCCTGGGATCTTTTCAGGGGGGGTTAAATAATATAATAATATCAAGATGTTTACTTTTAACTGCCATTTTATCACAAATGTACAGTGGAATACATTTAGAAGAACTTCATGGGGCACCTGGGAGGCTCAGTCAGTTAAGCATCTGACTCTTGATTTCAGCTCAGGTCATGATCTCAGGCTTGTGGCGGGGGGCTTACAGGATTGTGGTCTCAGGGCTGGGCATGGAGCCTGCTTAATATTTTTTCTCTCCCTCTGCCCCTCCTCCCCCTAACAAAAAACAAACAAACAAACAAAAAACAACCTAATATTTGGGCGCCTGGGTGGTTCAGTTGGTTAAGTGTCTGACTCTTAATCTGGCTTAGGTCATGATTCTGGGTCATGAGATGGAGCCCTGCATGGGGTTCTGCGCTGGGTGTGAAGCCTGCTTAAGATTCTCTCCTTCTTGCTCTGCCCCTCCCCCCTGCTCTCTCTCTCAAAAAAAAATTACATACATAAAAAATAGAAGAACTTCGGGACGCCTGGGTGGCTCAGATGGTTAAGCGTCTGCCTTCGGCTCAGGTCGTGATCCCAGGGTCCTGGGATCGAGTCCCGCATCAGGCTCCCTGCTCCGTAGGAAGCCTGCTTCTCCCTCTGCCTCTCTCTCTCTCTCTCTGACTCTCTCATGAATAAATAAATAAAACATTAAAAAAAAATAGAAGAACTTCATGACTCCAACTGATTATTTGTAAACCAATATTTTACAAATAACCAGTATGTGCTGTTACAAAAACATGCATGGGTAAAAGATCCACTCAAAGGACAATGCAGACCAATGGAGTTTAATATGATAGTTTATGCAAACCTCATTGATATAATTTCAAGTATCACATAGCAACTACTTTTTTTTTTAAATTACCACTTGTTGAGATTGTCTGGTAGTTTCAAAGAATATCCACAATTATCACAAAGACTATTAGAATACTCCTTTCTTTTCTAACACCATAACTGCATAAAGCCAGATTTCAACATGATGTACAAAAGGCTAGTTTCAACAAAAACAATATGTCCTAAAAGGTAAATGCAAAAGCAGAAGAGAATTGGTGGTTGTCAGAGGGGAAGTGGGCAGGGGGATGGGCAAAAGAGGTGAAGTAAATTAAGAGGTATAAACTTTCAGTTATAAAATAAATAATTCATGGACGTGAAAAGTACATCATAGGGAATATAGTCAATAAAATTGTAATAACATTGTATGATTACTACACTTATTGCAGTGAGCATTAAGTAATGTATAGAATTGTTGAATCACTATGTTGTACACCTGAAACTAATATAACATTGTATGTCAACTATATTTCAAAAAAGAAAAAACAGTAGAAGAGAACTCTTCTATTAAGCCAAAGTTACTATAATGTAAAACAATGACATTCTTCTTACTTTTTTTGTAGAAAACATAATTAACCTGTAATGCATTTATCATTTTATTCTGAAATGAATAAATATTTTTTAATTTCTCAATTTTAATTTCTAAAGTGGTAAATGTCTGTAGGTATAACCTACAGCAACAAAAGCTCCTTGGAGTCCTCAATAATTTATAAGAATGTAAAGAGGTTGGCACCAAATGTTTGAAAAGCAATAAGAGGGTGGGCCAAGGACTGACATTTAATTGAAGGAAAATTAAACTTAGCTAAACATCAGTTCTTTAATATAATCCTCAGAGTAAGTGCAGTAATACTCTTATGCACTAACATATAATAATAACATTAGAATGTTATTCAATATCATAGTCATAAAAATGATGATATTTGGAGATGTTTTCTATGTATCAGATGTTTTTTATTTTTTAATTTAATTTAATTTTATTATGTTATGTTAGTCACCATACAATACATCATTAGTTTTTGATGTAGTGTTCCATGATTCATTGTTTCCGTATAACAACCAGTGCTTCATGCACTACGTGCCTTCCTTAATACCCACCACCGGGCTAACCCATCTCCCCACCCCCCTCCCCTCTAAAACCCTCAGTTTGTTTCTCGGAGTCCATAGTCTCTCATGGTTTGTCTCCCCCTTGGATTTTCCCCCCTTCATTTTCCCCTTCCTTCTCCTAATGTTCCCATGCTATTCCTTATGTTCCACAAATAAGTGAAACCATATGATAATTGACTTTCTCTGCTTGACTTATTTCACTTAGCATAATCTCCTCCAATCCCATCCATGTTGATGTAAAAGTTGGGTATTCATCGTTTCTGATGGCTAATATTCCATTGTATATATGGACCACATCTTCTTTATCCATTCATCTGTTGAAGGGCATCTCAGCTCTTTCCACAGTTTGGCTATTGTGGACATTGCTGCTATGAACATTGGGGTGCGTATGACCCTTCTTTTCATTACATCTGTTTCTTTGGGGTAAATACCCAGTAGTGCAATTGCTGGGTCATAGGGTAGCTCTATGTTTAATTTTTTGAGGCACCTCTACACTGTTTTCCAAAGTGGCTGTACCAAGTTGCATTCCCACCAACAGTGTAAGAGGGTTCCCCTTTCTCCACAACCTCTCCAACATTTGTTTTTTCTTGCCTTGTCAATTTTTGCCATTCTAACTGGTGTAAGGTGGTATCTCAATGTGATTTTGATTTGAATTTCCCTGATGGCTAATGTTGATGAATATTTTTTCATGTGTCTGTTAGCCATTTATATGTCTTCTTTGGAGAAGTGTCTGTTCATGTCTTCTGCCCATTTTTTGACTTATTTGTTTTTTAGGTGTTGAGTTTGAAAGTTCTTTACAGATCTTGGAAATCAGTGGTTTGTCTATGGTGTCATTTGCAATTATCTTCTCTCATT